AGGACGGCGAGAGAGAGAGAGAGAGAGAGAGAGAGAGAGAGAGAGAGAGAGAGAGAGAGAGAGAGAGAGAGAGAGAGAGAGAGAGAGAGATGGCTGCGTAGCATTTCGGTAGCGCTTTGTGCCACGGTGGGCAGGTAGGTCACCGCCCAGGTAGGTTGCTGGCCATGGTAGGTCGCATAAGTCGCCGGCTGTGCAGGTAGGACGTAGTGATCGCGTGGGACAGGTAGGTGGCGTAATGCAAGCGTCTGTAGGACAGGTAAGACAGCATTAGTAACGGGTTTCTTTCTTCTCCATTTTTTTTTGGATTTCGTTTTTCATTCTTCCCCTTCTTTTTCAAGGGAAAATAAAACTGTGGCGGCCAAAGAATGATTTAAAAGGCCTCACCACACCACTCTCCAAACGTGAAAAAGACAACGCTGCATTTCCGGTCCCGCCGAGGCCCCCTTCCCCGACCGGGTCCGGGCCGGTGATACCAGCCGGTGGAGAGCGCCGGTTCCCGCCCGGTGGAAATTTGCGCAATTTGATTGGGGGGGGGGGGGGGGTTCAATTTTTTTTCGGAGCCGGTAGGCCTCCATTCGGGTCGTGGAGGCTTCCCGACCCCGAAAAAAAACAAACCGGGTCCTATAAGTCCGCCAGAATGCTCAAAAACTGGCGGCCTATCTGGGCCGTTGACCTAGTCAGATCTGCGGCCCAGATAGGCCGCCAGTTTTTGAACATTCGGGAGGGAAACCGCCCAAAGTTCTTGGAGGCGAACAACGATCCCCAAGCACCGGCCCAACCTCCCCGCCTCCTGCCTCTACTTTCGAACAACCATCCCCAAGACCCGTCACTTCGACACTTAGTCGAAAGTGAGCGAGGTCGAGACTGCGTTGCCCCCCCCCAACCTCCATCTGCAAGCCATCAGCCCCCCCCACGTCCGCCCCGGCCTCGGATCGCCATCGCCCCAGCCCGCCATCCATTGGTAAAGGTGAGTCTGTCTGTTTCTTCTTTTTCATACTACCTTCTTCTTCTTCTTCTTCTACTATTCTTCTTCTTCTTCTTCTCCTTCTTCTTCTCCTTCTGGCAGAGCCGAAGTCCGTAGTTTGTGAAGTAGAGAGGGAGAGAGAGAGAGAGAGAGAGAGAGAGAGAGAGAGAGAGAGAGAGAGAGAGAGAGAGAGAGAACCAGTGGGCGCGTGCGGCTGGTAGCGGGCGCACACGCACAGAGAGAGAGAGAGAGAGAGAGAGAGAGAGAGAGAGAGAGAGAGAGAGAGAGAGAGAGAGAGAGAGA